GCCGAGCCCCGGGAGGGTTTGGGGAGCCCCGTGGCAGCCCGGGCCACCCCCCGGGACCCCAGCCAGCCTGCCTGGGGCCACAGCATTGCCATGTTAGGAGGCAGCCGCGCTCCCCGGCACGCGCTGCTCGGTTGAGCCCCGGCCAGGGGAGCAGATGTGGGAACTGGCTGTGCCCGGTTCTCAGGATGGAAATGGATTTTTCCTTTCCCATCCCCCAGCATCAATCACTTTTTCTGTTTGGTTTTAGCCAAACCAAAGGAAAAAAAAAAAAAAAGCAAAGCTTCATGATGCAAGTAACATGAGCTGTGAGCTCCAGTCCCAAACTCGAGGCCAGCTCTAGCTGGGCTCTGCGTGCCTCACCACTGCCCTGCCCACAGCCCAGTGCCCTCCACAGGGCTTCAGGTGAGCCCCAGGACTGTCCCTCCCCAGGTTTGGATGAGCTTCATCTGGGCCATTGCTGCACTCACTCCAACACAAGTGACACAGGGTGCCCACCACCTGCAGCTTTGGGACGTGTCTGCAGAGCTGTCTCAGGGTCTTGGCCACCCACTGTAGATAAGTTACAGGGATTATTGCACCTTGTTTTGCAGGGGCTACTGCTGGACTGGTGGGAAGTGACACATTGCTCAGATTTCTCACTAAGAGGGACACTGCACAGCTCCCATCGATAGCCCACCCTGCACCAAGGCCAGCTGCTCTCTGCAGAGAACCCATCCAACCAGCTGCACACCAGCTGTGGCAGCCAAGACCTGCATCTTGCCAGAGGACATGTGCTCCCAGCAGAGCTGTCCTCACTGGCACCGTGGTCGGTAGCCCTGGGGGCTGCTCTGTGGGGCACAACAGCTCCGGGACCCTTCCAGCATCTTATGGGACCACGGCTCCTCTCCGTGGTCCACCACCACTGACAACAGCAAAGGGACTCGGCGTGTGCTGAGCTCCAGCCTGGCCAGGACCCCGGCGAATGTGCTGGAGCCCAGGAGGACGGGGCAGGTGGGACACGCCTGGGGCTGCACCCTCTTGGAGGGGCTGGGAGAGGCAAGGGCCACTCGGCTG